GTCATGGGTATTGTACAGATTACTAATGAAACCCCCTTAATGAACCTTGATGGTTTGGTTGCAAGCTGGGGGAAAAGATGCACAACCTCTAGACTGCTGGGACTATAAACTGGTGATGATCAAATGTATCCGCGGCCTTTCCTTGAAATGATTTGACATGGGGTCGAACCAGAGAACCAGATAATCTGGTACTACTACTGGACAGTTGGTTGCGGTTTCTTCGGGATCCACGTAGTGGCTGTGGCTTATACCCAAATTTGCGAGAAGGGACAGTTGGCTTGATTTGATTCACGGTGATGTAATATCTTTTCAATCTTTTCCCTAGGTGCTGTTGCTGACTCAACACAGCCATCTCAGTAGTGTGGTTGCGCGGGCTTTAAGAGGTTAAGGAATGCACTGAAATGGATCATTAGATTATGGGGATTGCATTTTATATAATGCAACCTTTCATGACATCAAAAGGGTGGTCACCTTCTGGCTAAGATACCGGAAGATATCTTCTATTGACTTTAGACCAGTGATTGCTTTTTCGCAACGGGACTACTATGGCATGAGATTAGATAGTTCGAGTACTTGAGCAAGATGCTTGTATATGGACCAAAGAATAGCCACCTGAGTTCTTCATTGAAGGATTCAGGGGCCAGTTGTTGAAAAAGACCACCGTGAAATAAGGCCATCAAGGCAGGGGATCACGTTAAGCACATTGACATTTTTGTCCTGGTTATTACTGATTTTTGATAGCCCCCGGGAAAGTTACCTTAATGAACTATCCCATCTTAATGTGATTGCAATCCGGGGGAAAAGGTGATAGGAGTTTTAATTGATTAGATGGCAACAAGGTAAAACCAGAGTGCCATCTAATCTGGTACCACGAGAACTGGTAGCCCATAGACAAAGATTCGTACTAGGTCTTATCCCGGTTATTGAAGACGTCCCTTCAGGCTATGGTTTAAACCCATACACTCGGGAAGAAAAAGTTAGTTAAAAGACTGATATACTGTGAAATCTATAATTACGGATAAGTTCGGTGCTGTTAACGAAACGACAACAGATACCCAATAGAGGTGTGGCTGTGGGGCTAAGCCATGGGAATAAGTCGGTGTTCAGTGGATGAAGAGGTTTGGGGGTCTTACCCATCTGTATACCTAGAATTAATGTGTCGGGGTGTGTTCTAATAAATGTGTCGGATAAATGAGAAGTCCGCTGAGCTGAATGGTGATGGATATACGGTAACTTATACAAATGACACCATTAAATTTTCCTTCTTTATCAAGGTATGTTTAGGGTTTACTCTGCTCATACCACAGTGTCTTCACTGTGAGTAAGAACTGGTATTTGGCTTATTTGATGGATTCGTAGTTCGGTCTACCGATTACGTCTCTAGGTACAAAAGATCGAATGAAGTTCGAATGAATATGTTCGGTTTAGTTACTTCTCAGCTTGGGCAGTCCGTGGTTGATGGTTTTCCGGAGCGGAGCGTGAGTTGCTTGCGTATAGTCCACCTTAAACCTTAGATTTATTGGATCACTGAACGTTTGGTTATCCTTCAAAAGAGGCGGAAATAAAGAAGAATCTTTTAGAAGTTTAAAGACTGATCAGAAGCTTTTTCGCATCTTAGCATTTTGTTACCCGGCAGATCTCGCAAATTCTGAACGCTTCCTCTTTGGATCTGATTGCACTTTTGTAATTCTGAAGAATTCTTAATAATTTTTAAGATTGAGCTTTTTCGCCTCTTAGCATTTTGTTATACGAAGATCATCTTGCAAATTCTGTACGCTTTCCCTCTGGATCTGATTGTAATTTTGCAATATAGCGTTCCGAATTACCGAAAGGTCCAAGAACATCTACTTCATAATTCATCAGGATGTAAAGCGAGGAAAAGTTGAGTGTGTAATGTTATAGTCACTCAATACATAATCATGGGTCATGTGTAAATCCCTTTGTGGCATTGGTGGCATTGTCAGCACATTGCTAGGTCTGACAATACTGTTAGGTCTGGCAACCGTGTAGACATACATAGCTTAACAAACCCTTCGTGATGAGATTCTGTTTGGCCTAAATCTATTACTTGTTAAGCCCGTATTTTCTATTTAAGTAGTTTCTTAAATCAAGTAAATTTATACTTGATTCAAGAAATACGTGCATAGGTCTATTAAATGACAGTGTAAGTAAAAGCCCATTAAATATTTGTACTTTTAATTACAGTTTATTGAATAACTCACCACACGCACAAGTTATTAGATAATTTAAATAAATTTTCAATTACCCAACTTTGTTCTATTTATTATCATTTCCCGTTACTCGTTCTGTCGTATACTCATAACACAGATAAAATCCCTTCTGTTGAATGCTAAATAGACTAGAAGTAACGTTAACTAACAAGAAACACAAGTGCAAGTTTTGTTTTATGTATCCAGGGATAGTACTTGGTACTACAGTATTTGTTTCTAATACTGCAAAGCTAGATAAGAGGATTTTGTGATATGAATATCGCTTTAACGACTAGAAAGATAAAACTTTTCTTTGTAAAAAAATAATGATCCGTTGCTGTATACTTATTAAAATTGTTTAAACGCACTGTAGGAAATAGACCATTTTTATTATATAGATAAAAGGTTAAATTCGATTAAAAGTTACGGTAGTGGGCGGGGCCATCGTCTTTTCCATGTCCTTTTCCTTGGATTTTTTAAGTTTTCTTAATTTCAAATATACTCAAATATTATTTCATCTCTACATACTTTATTCTCCAACTTTCTAATATCTAAACCATAGACTGTTTATAAATCTATATTGGTTACACGTTGCACTGGATTACAAAATAACGACAACAAAAATAACAACAAGTTTTCCACACATTCAACAAAACAAAAGAAGAGGCCACTCAAACATCAAACACTATTTTGTTGCAAAACACAGTGCAAATTAACATGTGTTTGAAGGAAATCCTTGTATAAGTTAAAGCTGTAAAATAAACACACACACATACATATGTTGCATGTAAGTGTGTAAACTTTTTCAACACACATACATCAACAAATACAAGTTCCTCTAACACATTAGGATAGTTCCTATTAGAAGCTATAGTTTAATGATTTTTCCAGACTTTAGTTGAGACTATATTCCAGCAAATAGTCCAGGTTATAGTTCTAATTATGGATTTCATTATTGACCAGAATACTGACAAGACTATGGACGGGGCTACAGTCTAGTTCAGACTATAGTCCTAACTATAGTTCAGACTATTGTACAGACTATAGTTCAAACTATAGTATAGACTATAGTTGAGACTATAGTTCAGATTATAGTCCAGATATAGCACATATATAGATATAACTAAACTAACTAACTAACTAACTAACTAACTAACTAACTAACTAACTAACTAACTAACTAACTAACTAACTAACTAACTAACTAACTAACTAACTAACTAACTAACTAACTAACTAACTAACTAACTAACTAACTAACTAACTAACTAACTAACTAACTAACTAACTAACTAACTAACTACTAACTAACTAACTAACTAACTAACTACTAACTAACTAACTAACTAACTAACTAACTAACTAACTAACTAACTACTAACTAACTAACTAACTAACTAACTAACTAACTAACTAACTAACTAACTAACTAACTAACTAACTAACTACTAACTAACTACTAACTAACTAACTAACTAACTAACTAACTAACTAACTAACTAACTAACTAACTAACTAACTAACTAACTAACTAACTAACTAACTAACTAACTAACTACTAACTAACTACTAACTAACTAACTAACTAACTAACTAACTAACTAACTAACTAACTAACTAACTAACTAACTAACTAACTAACTAACTAACTAACTACTAACTAACTAACTAACTAACTAACTACTAACTAACTAACTAACTAACTAAACTAACTAACTAACTAACTAACTAACTAACTAACTAACTAACTAACTAACTAACTAACTAACTAACTAACTAACTAACTAACTAACTACTAACTAACTAACTAACTAACTAACTACTAACTAACTAACTAACTAACTAACTAACTAACTAACTAACTAACTAACTAACTAACTAACTAACTAACTAACTAACTAACTAACTAACTAACTAACTAACTAACTAACTAACTAACTACTAACTAACTACTAACTAACTAACTAACTAACTAACTAACTAACTAACTAACTAACTAACTAACTAACTAACTAACTAACTAACTAACTAACTAACTAACTACTACTAACTAACTAACTAACTAACTAACTAACTAACTAACTAACTAACTAACTAACTAACTAACTAACTAACTAACTACTAACTAACTAACTAACTAACTAACTAACTAACTAACTAACTAACTACTAACTAACTAACTAACTAACTAACTAACTAACTAACTAACTAACTACTAACTAACTAACTAACTAACTAACTAACTACTAACTAACTAACTAACTACTAACTACTAACTAACTAACTACTAACTAACTAACTAACTAACTACTAACTAACTAACTAACTAACTAACTAACTAACTAACTAACTAACTACTAACTAACTACTAACTAACTAACTACTAACTAACTACTAACTACTAACTAACTAACTAACTAACTAACTATATCCAACTGCTGCTTCTTGGTCCTTATTTTGGATCCCTTCTAATAGACATATGTTTTATTTACTGTAAACAACTTCAGTTCTTGTTATTATTGCATCTATTGTCTTTTGTCAATGCCTGCAGAAGTAAAGTGCAGTATATAACAAAAGTAGTAGAACGCCTAAGTATTTACCCCGGAATTTTTAAACTATTATTAAAGTTATGAATAATTTATAGCAGAACTTTTGTATAGAGAAGATGCTTAAAAACCATTAATAAACCATTTATAACATTACAAATAAATATCACACGCCGTTTATGGTGCCTTTACTTTTACAAACCACTGTATATTTTCATCTATTCATGTGTATATTTCTACTTACGTTGTATTCTCAGCAGTATCGTTATCTGATCGGAATCAGCAAAAGTCGATGTGATACGCATTGCACGACATGTGTATTCACCAGCATCTGCTTGCGTTACATTCTTGATATAAAGACCATTTGAAATTGTACGATATTTTGTGCTGTTAGAAACTGTAAATCAATCAAAAAAAACATATATACATAAAATATTAGAAAATATGTAGTAAGTATATGGATAATAAAAACTATATTTTTATGTATATATTTACTACTATATTACTTTGACGGCAATAAGTAGAATTTTACATTAGAGCTAAAAATAAACAAATAAGATATTTTAAAAATTTTCAAAGAAATTTTAGTATTTTCTTCGTAGTTTGTTTAATTTAAAATCATGTAAATATATTTTTGAAGTAAAATGAATTTATTCAACTGTTAATAAATCGGTTTAATGCTAAATATTTATTTATTGTAGTAATTGTGGTTAAAAACTATGTATTATGTATATATATTTTACTGGGAAAATATATATTCTATTACATCTATTTTTTCTTCTGAAAATACAACCAAAATTACATAATGGTTCATAATTGATATGTATGTGCATTTGTATTTGTAAAAAATTTAACACAGTGGTAAAATGAGAACCAATTGGTGAACCCAAAGTAAATATTAACAGATTTTAGAATAAAAAATGTCCACACGCCGTTACAACGGCTGAAATATTGTTAAAACGTATTTCTTAAAATGCTACGAAATGATATCTCGAAAACTTGATGTGATAATAAAATTTATCCAGCCTATAGTCGAGACTGTAAACAAGACTATATACGAGTCTATAGTAAAGACCTTAGTTGATACTATAGTCTACATTATAGTTCAGACAATAATCCAGACTGTAGGTCAGACTATCATCCAGACTGTAGTCCTGACTACAGTTCAGAATAGAGTCCAGAATATAGTTCAGACTATGGACGAGTATATAGTTTCAACTATAGTTCAGACTATGGTTGACATTATATTACAGATCATATTCCATGCTCTAGTTCAGATTATAGATTACTATATTGACCAGACTACTGAAAAGACTATAGATAAGACTTTAGTCCATACTATGGACTAGATTATATTATATATTATGTACACGACTATAGTCCAGGTAATGGTCGAGACTACAGTCCATACTTTAGTTCAGTCTATAGTCCAGACTATATTTCAGTACAGACTATAGGTCGGACTATAGGTCAGATTAAAGTCCAGACTACAAGTCAGAGTATAGTCCAGACAATAATTCAGACTATAGACGAGACTATAATCCTGACAAGAGACGAGCCTATAGTCCAGAATATAGACGAGACTAAAGTCCAGACTATAGACGAGACTATAGTCCAGAATATAGACGAGACTATAGTGCAGACTATAGACGAGACTATAGTGCAGACTATAGACGACATTATAGTGCAGACTATAGACGAGACTAGAGTGCAGACTATAGACGTGAGTATAGATTCCAAACTATAGACGAGACTATAGTCCAGAATATAGACGAGACTATAGTGCAGACGGCACTATAGTGAAGACTATAGACGACACTATAGTGCAGACTATAGACGAGACAATAGCGCAGACTATAGAAGTGACTATAAACGAGACGAGATTATAGTGCAGACTATAGGCAAGACTGAAGTGCAGACTATAGACGAGACTATAGTCCAGAATATAGACGAGACTAAATTCCAGACTATAGACGAGACTATAGTCCAAACTATAGACGAGACTATAGTGCAGACTTTAGACGACACTATAGTGCAGACTATAGACGACACTATGGTGCAGACTATAGACGAGACTATAGCGCGGACTATAGACGAGACTATAGTGCAGACTATGGACGACACTATACTGCAAACTGTATACTAGACCAAGGACGAGACTGTAGTCAAGACTATAGTCCAGGCAATAGACAACAATGTAGTCAGGACTATAGTGGACAGAATATGGACAAAACCAACCTCGGTCTATGGCCAGGAACTTTATTAATTTTTTTCCTGTGTATTATTCCGCAGAACAGAGTTGCTGCTAGTTGCTTGATTGCTATTCAAGAATGTGAAGTAGTTCTGATCCGAACAAATTCTAACTTTTTTCCAGAACATATAATTGTGTTTTATTTCCAATTTAAAGAATATGTCATGTATGCCAAATCCATCTATAGTAATCACTTAACAGCTCTTAACAATAAACAAACAGAAAACCTTATTGTTTTCTTAGCAACAACTGCAACAAGAGCTATAACAATAAATAAGGATAAAACAAAAGCAACGACAACAACAACAACAACTATGACACTTACTTGTTATGGACTCTCCATTGAAAAGCCATGAAATGGCAGGTGCTGGATCACCTTTCACCAAACAATGAACGGTAGCATCACGACCTTCTCTAGCTGACTGCACAAGTTCCGTTTTGTCAAAGGATATTTTTTCTACAATAAAAAAAGGATGCGGAAAGATATTTACACAATGTGACAGGACAGCAGTCAAACGGACAATAGAAATAAACAAGAATATCAACAAAAACGAAAGAGAACATTAAAAAAAGCGAAATTGAAAACAAACAAAAGAAAACAACAGAAATAAAACATACTGTGTGTGTGTGTGTGTGTTGCAACATAACTTGCATTTAGATGGCAACTCTATTACAAGAATAATGGATGACTATTTGGATGGATGGTGCTTGGTTGGTTGGGTGACTGTTTGGTTTAGTTGGTTTAGTTAGTTGTTTGGTTGTTTGGATGGCTGGATAAATAAATAAAAGGATTTTCTGTCTGTCTGTCTGTTTCTCTTACATAAAAACAGCCAACCAACTAACCAGTGGTGCAACAAAAAGCCAAGCGTAAATTGACAACAGGATTAGGATTTTGACCAGAAATAATAAACCAAAACAACAACATAAAACTTGAAAATATCATACGATTTCATTGTAGTTTCCAAAGAAAAATGAGCTGAATTTCTAAAATAAAAAAGAAAGAAAACTGAAAACATAATAAACAACATAAACTTAAAAGTTTTAAGAGAAAAACTGAAAAAAGGTATAAAATCTTTGAATTCTATGAAAAATTGTCTACAGTTACAATTGTAGTACATACGATATACTAATAACTCAAAGGATATTCGTTCTTTTATATCCTTCGAATTAACTTCACATGTCCAATTGCCTTTGTCTTCCAGTGCAATGTGTTCGAAGAATAATGCCAACGATCCTGCAAAGAAATAAAATATTTGAAATATTAATTTTTATAGTGACATTTTTATAAAGGCAAAATAATTCGTATTATTTTCTGCAATTTTAATGCAATTTTCATTTTAAAAAGAAATAAATTGAAATGTTTACAAACGTATGAATAACGTAGGAATAACGTAAACCTTTAATAATTAAATTGATTTTTTATGCCATTTGGTACACCAAGAGGAAAAATATATACACGCCTGGTACCAAATTGACACAAAATTTGTCAATAACATCCATTGTCAAGTATATACATACAACAACAACATGTAATGCAGACCACGCAACTTTGTCAACATTGCAACAACTCGTTGTCGCAATCTAAACTTTATGCACATCCCTTGTCTAAATGTTAACAAACGCGGTAAGCTCACTATTGGCAACGCATTTTCAGCAGAATCAAAAGATACGGGTTCACTCGAACCCCAACATCCTAACATCTTACTATAATAGTTTCCTTACGGAATGACAGTTGTCATAAGTAAAACTCATTTATACCCTGAAAAGGAGAAGGAAATCACTTAATTGAATCAAAAGAGATCTATTTCCTTTATACTATGTAACCTCATGAGTGAATGACAGGCATCTTAAGTAAAACTCTATTATACCCCGACAAGCCGGAGGCAATCACTCAATTGAGTCCATAGCGCAGTATTCCCTTCAACCCCAACGATCACACTTGATACTTCGATGTTTTATCTCTTACCAGAGTTGTTCAGTTGCGGAGTGGTTGGCATCATGAGTAAATCTCTATCATACCCCGACAAGAAGAAGGAGTTAATAATTCAGTCAATAGAGTGTTCTTCCCTAGAATCATAACGATCGTACTTGATACTACGCTGTCTAATCTCTTACCAATATTCTCCCGTTGCGGAATGACAAGGACAATCACTAAGTTGAGTTAACAGAGAAGTATTCCCTTGAAACTCAACTCAATGAGTAAAACTCAATTATACCCTGAAGGCATTCCGACAAGGAGAAGGCACTCTCAGTTCAATCCGGATAGAGGACTTCCATTGAACCCCAAAAATCACACTTTATACGCCCCTATGAATCTGCGCAAACGCAAAGGAGGATCATCGAGGTCAAAGATCTATTCTGAATCGCCATTCACGGCTTTAAAACGTAGCACCTACAGTACTAAGACGGCTCTGTTGTAGAGACGAATTTGGTAGATCGAAATTATACGTCTTGTTAGACACAAGTCCTCAAGTCGAACCTTCATAAAGTTATATCAGTCCCATTCAAGGAATGATAGAACACTACCAATTGTTAAACTGACTATTCATCGAAAATTAATGGAGGAACACCTTCCTCTGCTGCATCATCCTCTGGCACGGCAACAGCTAACAGCTAAAGACTTAACCCGAAGTACGTAGCACATTATATATGATTTAACCAATATTCCCTTCCCGTGAAGGGAACCTAAAAACTGGAAGGAACTAAACTGAACTAGAACTGAACAGACTGAACTAGAACTGAACTAGAACTGAACTAGAACTGAACTAGAACTGACTAGAACTGAACTAGAACTGAACTAGAACTGAACTAACTGAACTAGAACTGAACTAGAACTGAACTAGAACTGAACTAGACTGAACTAGAACTGACTAGAACTGAACTAGAACTGAACTAGAACTGAACTAGAACTGAACTAGAACTGAACTAGAACTGAACTAGAACTGAACTAGAACTAGAACTGAACTAGAACTGAACTAGAACTGAACTAGAACTGAACTAGAACTGAACTAGAACTAGAACTGAACTAGAACTGAACTAGAACTAGTACTGAACTAGAACTGAACTAGAACTGAACTAGAACTGAACTAGAACTGAACTAGAGAACTAGAACTGAACTAGAACTGAACTAGAACTGAACTAGAACTGAACTAGAACTGAACTAGAACTGAACTAGAACTGAACTAGAACTGAACTAAACTGAACTAGAACTGAACTAGAACTGAACTAGAACTGAACTAGAACTGAACTAGAACTGAACTAGAACTGAACTAGAACTGAACTAGAACTGAACTAGAACTGAACTAGAACTGAACTAGAACTGAACTAGAACTGAACTAGAACTGAACTAGAACTGAACTAGAACTGAACTAGAACTGAACTAGAACTGAACTAGAACTGAACTAGAACTGAACTAGAACTGAACTAGAACTGAACTAGAACTGAACTAGAACTAGAACTGAACTAGAACTGAACTAGAACTAGAACTGAACTAGAACTGAACTAGAACTGAACTAGAACTGAACTAGAACTGAACTAGAACTGAACTAGAACTGAACTAGAACTGAACTAGAACTGAACTAGAACTGAACTAGAACTGAACTAGAACTGAACTAAACTGAACTAGAACTGAACTAGAACTGAACTAAACTGAACTAGAACTGAACTAGAACTGAACTAGAACTGAACTAGAACTGAACTAGAACTGAACTAGAACTGAACTAGAACTGAACTAGAACTGAACTAGAACTGAACTAGAACTGAACTAGAACTGAACTAGAACTGAACTAGAACTGAACTAGAACTGAACTAGAACTGAACTAGAACTGAACTAGAACTGAACTAGAACTGAACTAGAACTGAACTAGAACTGAACTAGAACTGAACTAGAACTGAACTAGAACTGAACTAGAACTGAACTAGAACTGAACTAGAACTGAACTAGAACTGAACTAGAACTGAACTAGAACTGAACTAGAACTGAACTAGAACTGAACTAGAACTGAACTAGAACTGAACTAGAACTGAACTAGAACTGAACTAGAACTGAACTAGAACTGAACTAGAACTGAACTAGAACTGAACTAGAACTGAACTAGAACTGAACTAGAACTGAACTAGAACAGAACTAGAACTAGAACTAGAACTGAACTAGAACTGAACTAGAACTGAACTAGAACTGAACTAAACTGAACTAGAACTAGAACTAGAACTGAACTAGAACTGAACTAGAACTGAACTAGAACAGAACTGAACTAGAACTGAACTAGAAACGAGAACTGAACTAGAACTGAACTAGAACTGAATAGAACTGAACTAGAACTGAACTAGAACTGAACTAGAACTGAACTAGAACTGAACTAGAACTGAACTAGAACTGAACTAGAACTGAACTAGAACTGAACTAGAACTGAACTAGAACTGAACTAGAACTGAACTAGAACTGAACTAGAACTGAACTAGAACTGAACTAGAACTAGAACTGACTAGAACTGAACTAGAACTGAACTAGAACTGAACTAGAACTGAACTAGAACTAGAACTGAACTAGAACTGAACTAGAACTGAACTAGAACTGAACTAGAACTGAACTAGAACTGAACTAGAACTGAACGAGAACTGAACTAGAACTGAACTAGAACTGAACTAGAACTGAACTAGAACTGAACTAGAACTGAACTAGAACTGAACTAGAACTGAACTAGAACTGGACTAGAACTGAACTAGAACTGAACTAGAACTGAACTAGAACTGAACTAGAACTGAACTAGAACTGAACTAGAACTGAACTAGAACTGAACTAGAACTGAACTAGAACTGAACTAGAACTGAAATAGAACTGAACTGAATTAGAATTGATTGGACAATTTTAAGGAACCACTTCCAAGAAAATAATTTTCTGAACATCGGACGATAACAACTATCCTAACCTAACCTAGCTTTACGTGAATAACTGCATTGACGGACGAGCTTCTTTTTATCCACAGGGTGAGCTTAATTGTCGACTCACCACTGCCCTTTTGTGTTTGTCTTTCACAGGTGGCAATTTTTGTACATGGTTCTATCGGTCCATATACAGGCACTTTCTGAAGTACTAATATCTTGACATTGTAGGAATGACAGGTATCATGAGACAAGCCTAATATATATCCCGACTAGGGAAAGGCAATCACTAGTTTAGAGCCAATAGAAGGGGCGTACCCATATTGATACTATGAAGAATGCTCACTTCACTCATTCCCACATCCTCATATCTAAAGACTCACCGCAGTACGTTTCTTAACCTCTTAAAAGCGCACAACCACACTACTGAGATGGCTCAGTTGTTTCGGTAACAGCACCTAGGAACGTAATTGGTGGTACATAGTACGGATCCATATTGATTGACAAGAGTTATTTCAGCGCCAAAAGGACCTACTGTGATAAGTTCACAATGTTTAAGAGAAAACACCAACACACCCAACCATGAAGGAAAACCGCCAAAAAATTAAAGATTAAGGTATTATCAGCTCCACAAATCATCTCACATTATCGATCACATGTCAAAAACAACTCAGAATCCCCCACATCCATCAGATACAAGTATCCGATGGTACATCGTATATCAACTCATACCCAATTAATCGATAGCCTTACCCTGTGGTTTGTACTGCTCCTAGAAACTAAGAAACAGAAACAAGCGCCCCTTCTTGCGAATTTGGGTTTAAACCACAGCCACTACTTGGATCCCGAAGGAACCTAAACCAACTGAAAAACTCAACTTTTGAAACCCAGTTCTTTCAATTCTATTGTGTAGCAACACACCAATTGCACTTACCTCCTCTTTTTTTCAACATGAACACGACCTTTGGTATTCTCACGCACCACACCATTGGGATCTTTCCATTTAGTCTCAATATCTGTTTGTACTGTATTCGATAAAGATGCTGATGGTGATGATGATGAAGACGACGATGCTGCAGTTGCATCTGTTGTTGCAATCGTTCGTTGTTTTGTATTGCAAAATATTATAAAGGAAGCATTCACAAAATGTGGTATAGATGGTTGCGATGGTGTTAAATACAAAACACTGTTCTCGCTAACCGATGGAATATTGTTGGAGCTACTGCTTCCGGTGCTACGTCGTTGTCGATGGTTGTTGTTGTGGAAATTTTGTGAATTGCTGTTGTTGCTTGTGATGGTAGTGGTACTGGTGTAGGTGGTGATGGTGTTGCTGTGGATTTGTGCCCATACTGTGACTGTAAGAATGAAGAATATCATAAAGTTGTTTATTAAGAAAATAATATAAATTCAATAAAAGATTAATAAAAATTTACTTCTTGAATTGCTAAAGAAATATCCGACAGTAATCAGCTTTTCATAAGTAATTAAAAAGAGTTTGCTTGAGATAGGAAGCTGAAACAGCTTCACAGAAAATAATTCGAAAATTGTAAAAGAGTGGAGCCCTGCATTATCGGTTAATACATGCATGAATATAACAGTTATTTTATTAACTGTATCTTATTTAGCGGTATATTTTCCAATTTTTTAGCTTAAGTTTAATTTACATAATATTTTTCTTTTATTTTGAACAAAAAACAAAACGAAGACAATATGACGCAAATTCTAAAATATCCTTCAACTCCTGTTGAATCTCTCAAATAGAAAAACTCCCTGTTATCCTCGCTCCCAACATAGAGGCATCACTAAATAAATATTCCAGAATTGACATCAAACATTCTTTTGAAATTAATTATAAACAATTTATATCCCGCCAACATAGTTCTACTCCTTGAAGCGAGTTTTTTAACCCGCTCCCAATTATACGGGCAGACGACAAACAGTCAACTAGCATTCAGGCAGGCGGTACAGGCATTTAATCAACACAAAACTAAACCGAGCAGAAGGAAGAAGAAAACAAATAGAAAATGCAAATAAATTCATTTAAACTTCTATCTACTTTTCATTTTATAAATTATGTTTCTATTTTCTTTTCTTCGGCTGCAGGAACAAGAATGCAAATCATTTTCCAATGGAAATGCAAATGAAAAAAATTTAAAGAAAAAACCTACATATTGTTAAATGTTTGTTGATTACAAACGAATAGATTTGGTTGCATAAATAAAACAACAACATAAAACTGGTAGACAGTAAATTACAGAATCCGGGAAGTCGGGGTTAAAATAATAAATGTCACATATTTATAGAACTATAGGGTTTCTAAGTTAGTAATCCTTGGCAGAAATTTCTCGCAACAAAAAATTGTAGACAATATTCTACAAATACTCTTTCGCGCTGCGAATTCTAGATTATAAAGTCTAGTCTATAGTATGGGGTATAGTCTAGTCTAAAGTTTAGTCCATAGTCTAGATTATAGTCTAGTTTATAGTCTAGTTTATAGTCTAGTCTATAGTCTAGTCTAGTCTAGTCTATAGTCTAGTTTATAGTCTAGTTTATAGTCTAGTTATAGTCTAGTTTATAGTCTAGTATATAGTCTAGTTTATAGTCTAGTCTATAGTCTAGTCTATAGTCTAGTCTATAGTCTAGTCTATAGTCTAGCCTATAGTCTAGTCTATAGTCTAGTTATAGTCTAGTCTAGTATAGTCTAGTCTAGCTATGTCTAGTCTAGTCTATATTCTAGTCTAATTCTTGTCATAGTCTAGTCTATAGTCTAGTCTATAGTCTAGTCTATAGTCTAGTCTATAGTCTAGTCTATAGTCTAGTCTATAGTCTAGTCTATAGTCTAGTCTATAGTCTAGTCTATAGTCTAGTCTATAGTCTAGTCTAGTCTAGTCTAGTCTAGTCTATAGTCTAGTCTATAGTCTAGTCTATAGTCTAGTCTAGTCTATAGTCTAATTATATAATCTAGTTTATAGTCTAGTCTATAGTCTAGTCTATAGTCTAGTCTATATCTAGTTTATAGTCTAGTTTATAGTCTAGTTTATAGTCTAGTATATAGTCTAGTCTATAGTCTAGTCTACAGTCTAGTCTATAGTCTAGTATATAGTCTAGTCTATATTCTAGTTATAGTCTAGTTATAGTTAGTTTATAGTCTAGTATATAGTCTAGTCTATAGTCTAGTCTATAGTCTAGTCTATAGTCTAGTATATAGTCAAGTCTATAGTCTAGTCTATAGTCTAGTCTATAGTCTAGTCTACAGTCTAGTCTATAGTCTAGTCTATAGTCTAGTCTATAGTCTAGTCTTAGTCTAGTCTATAGTCTAGTCTATAGTCTAGTCTATAGTCTAGTCTATAGTCTAGTCTATAGTCTAGTCTATAGTCTAGTCTATAGTCTAGTCTATAGTCTAGTCTATAGTCTAGTCTATATATAGTAGTCTATAGTCTAGTCTATAGTCAGTCTATAGTCTAGTCTATAGTCTAGTCTATAGTCTAGTCTATAGTCAGTCTATAGTCTAGTCTATAGTCTAGTCTATAGTCAGTCTATAGTCTAGTCTATAGACTAGACTATAGACTAGACTATAGACTAGACTATAGACTATTGACTAATAGACTAGACTATAGACTAGACTATAGACTAGACTATAGACTAGACTATAGACTAGACTATAGACTAGACTATAGACTAGGACTATAGACTAGACTATAGACTAGACTATAGACTAGATATAGACTGGACTATAGACTAGACTATAGACTAGACTATAGACTAGACTATAGACTAGACTATAGACTAGACTATATAGACTATAGACTAGACTATAGACTGACTATAGAGACTATAGACTAGACTATAGACTAGACTATAGACTAGACTATAGACTAGACTATAGACTAGACTATAGACTAGACTATAGACTAGACTGTAGACTAGACTATAGACTAGACTATAGACTAGACTATAGACTTGACTATATACTAGACTATAGACTAGACTATAGACTAGACTATAGACTAGATATATACTAGACATAAACTAGACTATAAACTAGACTATAAACTAGAATATAGACTAGACTATAGACTAGACTATAGACTAGACTGTAGATAGACTATAGACTAGACTATATACTAGACTATAAACTAGACTATAAACTAGACTATAAACTAGAATATAGACTAGACTATAGACTAGACTATAGACTAGACTAAACTAGATTATAGATAGACTATAGACTGACTAGACTATAGACTAGACTATAGACTAGACTATAGACTAGACTAGACTAGACTAGACTAGACTATAGACTAGACTATAGACTAGACTATAGACTAGACTATAGACTAGACTATAGACTAGACTATAGACTAGACTATAGACTAGACTATAGACTAGACTATAGACTAGACTATAGACTAGACTATAGACAAGAATATAGACTAGAATATAGACTAGACTAGACTATAGACTAGACTATAGACTAGACTATAGACTAGACTATAAACTAGACTATAGACTAGACTATAGGCTAGACTATAGACTAGACTATAGACTAGACTATAGACTAGACTATAGACTAGACTAAACTAGACTATATACTAGACTATAAACTAGACTATAAACTAGACTATAAACTAGACTATAAACTAGACTATAGACTAGACTATAGACTAGACTATAGACTAGACTATAAACTAGACTATAAACTAGACTATAATCTAGACTATGGACTAAACTTTAGACTAGACTATACCCCATACTATAGACTAGACTTTATAATCTAGAATTCGCAGCGCGAAAGAGTATTTGTAGAATATTGTCTACAATTTTTTGTTGCGAGAAATTTCTGCCAAGGATTACTAACTTAGAAACCCTATAGTTCTATAAATATGTGACATTTATTATTTTAACCCAGACTTCCCGGATTCTGTAATTTACTGTCTACCAGTTTATTGTTGTTGTTTTATTTATGCAACAAAATCTATTCGTTTGTAATCAACAAAACATTTTAACAATATGTAGGTTTTTTCTTTAAATTTTTTTCATTTGCATTTCCATTGGAAAATGATTTGCATTCTTGTTCCTGCAGCCGAAGAAAAGAAAATAGAAACATAATTTATAAAATGAAAAGTAGATAGAAGTTTAAATGAATTTATTTGCATTTTCTATTTGTTTTCTTCTTCCTTCTGCTCGGTTTAGTTTTGTGTTGATTAAATGCCTGTACCGCCTGCCTGAATGCTAGTTGACTGTTTGTCGTCTGCCCGTATAATTGGGAGCGGGTTAAAAAACTCGCTTCAAGGAGTAGAACTATGTTGGCGGGATATAAATTGTTTATAATTAATTTCAAAAGAATGTTTGATGTCAATTCTGGAATATTTATTTAGTGATGCCTCTATGTTGGGAGCGAGATAACAGGGAGTTTTTCTATTTGAGAGATTCAACAGGAGTTGAAGGATATTTTAGAATTTGCGTCATATTGTCTTCGTTTTGTTTTTTGTTCAAAAAAAA